TACATCATCAGTGTGCGCTGACAACTATGTATGTGCCTTAAAAGCCGGATGCAGACCCCACACTCTCTCTCTGCTCTCTCTCTGCTCTGCTCTGCTCCTACCTCCCCCGCCCCACCATCTTTCTCTCTCTCCAGACCTGGCTGTCCTCTTTCCCCTACTGTAGTCCAGGGATCATCAAGTAAGAAACTGTGATAGCTAAAAGCTCCAGAAACCAGCTTAAATCCATCTGGACAGGGTGGATCTACTTCAGGCTTCTTCTGTCTCACCATCATCCTGTCAGACACAGAAACGGCCAGAGTGCCAAGCCAAGAGGGATGGACGGCTCCAGGGCAGCAGAACAGCCCACCATCCCAGGACGCCTGTCTACCTTGGAAGGCCACCTTCCCTACCCACCCCAAGAGCCAACTGATGCCCACCAAGTCAGCTGGAAGCAGTTTTTTCTGGGAGAAACGACGCCTCTATTTCTATTCACTCAGTTTTTTATAATAAGCAAAAATCCTGGAATGTTAGGATCCTGCGCCACTCCAGCTACGTGACCACACATGTGCAGTTTGGGGTCTTGTGTCTTATGTCAAGAGGGGTCGCTGGCAACTACGTATGTGTGGCATGGTCACACAATCTGTGCCTTAAAAGCTGGATGCAGACCCCACGCTCCTTCTGCTCTCTGCTCCCTGCAGAGGGGGGAAGGGTGTATCAGGTGAGGAATGCTGGCCACTGAGTGGAACATGTGGCAGTGTAGGAGGGCGATGGGTAGGCAGGGTTGGGAGAGGGGCCAGTGTCTCTGGCAGCACGGTCAGGGTGGAATGTTCAGGGTCCTTGTTTCCAGATGAATGGGAATCTGGAGGTGCCCTTACCCTAGTCAATAAGACCCAGGCCACGGGGCACTCACTGGCTGCTGAAGTAAGGGCGGGAATGCAGAACCCCAAAATTGTGGATGTAGGACAGTTTTGACCACTTATCTCCATGCTGGCAAAAATTTTCATGATCGCGGAAGATGGTAAATTCAAAAGTTCCCTCCAGTGGCCTTCTTGACTGGTTATCAAGAGCGTGTTGTGGCCAGGCCTTAGCGCACAGAGAAACCAGGCACTCATGACATATGGTGTCAGATAGCCCCCATTTGAATAGATTTTGTAAAAGACACCCCAAGGGTATTTGGGGATTTGCCTTAGACCCGCAGTTGCCCCTTTCAGAAGCCTGTGCCGGAACTCAAAGTCTAAAGCAATGCATCCACTGCTGCAGGCTTGAGGGTCATGTGGGCTGTGCCTTTGCACAGAGTGTCTTCTGAGCAAAGGGTCCCATGGAACAAGGGTGGTCTTTGCTACCGCAATGGGTTGGGGTTGCCCCTGGCATGGCAACCCCAAAACCGGGAAGGGTCCTGAACCCCTAGAGGCAGTGACTTGGAATGGGCAATTTACTGGGCCAAAAGCCAATCTAGTCTGGTGGAGTGCGGGTTTAAGGAGAGGAGTGGTTTTTCCACCATGGGGCCAGAGGCCAATGTGGGGGACGGGGAGGGAGCCTCAGCTCCTTCCCAGCCAATGCACCAAGATGAAAGGTTTCCATAACATGATATTAAGTCTCTCTGCCGATGCTGTAATCCAAATCAAGCTGAATCAAGAATAAAAGACCAAGTTTATTGGGCAAAATATTCCCAGGTGATCTTCCCAGTCCCCAGAGATGTGATCAGGAGAAGAGACCAGGAAAAAAAACCATAGGGCCATTCTCCAGGAGGCAGTTTAAATACCTTGTAGGCATAGTCTTGAGTAGTTCCGGGAGAGGAGCCACAGTTTGGCAGGTTTTCTGAGGGCAGGGTCTGGAGAAAGAGAGCGTTGGGGCCCAGCTAAACACTAATGAAAGCATCATTGCTTCCATGACTGACTCCCAAGTACATCACCCCAGGTCATTATTACTATATCCTGTTGGTCAAAGCAGTCACATGCCATGCTCAGTGAGATTTCATATTCAGGAACTCACTATATAGTTCCAATTGGCCAAAAGCTCACTGCAATGATCCTTCTGCCTCAGCCTTCCAAGTGGTCAGATTACTGCTATGCTGCTCTTGGGTCTCATTTCTTTTCCTTTTGAAGATTTGTTTGTTTGTTTTTTGAGACAGGGTTTCTCTGTGTAGCACTGGCTGTCCTGGAACTCACTCTATAGATCAGGCTGTCCTGGAATTCACTCTATAGACCAGGCTGTCCTGGAATTCACTCTATAGACCAGGTTGTCCTGGGACTCACTCTGTAGAGCCTGCTGCCTCTACCTCCCAAGTGCTAGGATTAAAGGCATGCACCACCACCACCGGGCTTGAAGATTTGTTTTTATTTATAGGTCTATGTTTGTGTCTGTGTGTTCATGCCACATGTGGATGCCCTTGGAGGCCGAGGAAGTACCAGAGATCCCTTAGAGCTGCAGTTACAGGTGTTTGTGAGCTGCTTGATGTGAGTGCTAGGACTAAACTCTTGCTAGACAAGTGTTCTACCACTGAGCTAAATCCCCAACCCCCTCAACCCCATTCTTAATTTTTTTCTTACATATTTATTTCATGTGTGTGCATGTGGAGGTCAGAAGTCAATTTGTGGGAGTTGGTTTTCTCTTCCTATCGTGTGGATCCCACTGAGCCATCTCATCAGCCCTGGGTCTCACTTCCTGAGGGAAGGTGTCAGTGAATTAGCGGTTTTCCACTGAACTGAAGTTGGTGAGAGGATTCCGAAGTAAAGGCGCTTCCTCCAAGACTCACCACCTGGCCCATGTGGGAGGAGAGAGCTGATCCCCACAAGTTGTTCTCCGCTTTCCACATGGGCATTGTGGCACATACAATAAAGACCTAAGCGCAATAAATAAATAAGCAGTAATAGGGACAACTGAGCAAGCTGGTGAGTCTTGGGGCCTGGCTGGCGGTGTTATCCAGGCAAGTACTCTACTCAGGCCCATGTATTTTAGTGAAAAGGAAATCTCAACATTCACTCCTAAACAGCCATGAGCTCACATTTCTTTCTCTCCCTTCTTCCTTTATGGTGCTTTTTCTTTTTCTTTCTTTCTTTTTAAATGATTTATTTATTTGCATTGGTGCATCTGTGTAAGGGTGTTGGATCCCCTCGAACTGGAATTATAGACAGTTGTGAGCTGCCTTGTGGGTGCTGGGAACTGAACTCTGGCCCTCTGGAAGAGCAGTCAGTGCTATTAACTGCTGAGCCATCTCTCCAGCCCCTTTACAGTGCTTTTTCAATAACATCTTACAATGCAGTCTTGTCTGGCCTGGAACTTACTAAGTAGACCAGACTGACTTTGAACTCAACCTCCTGAGTGCTGGGATTATAGACACGAGCCGGTACTCACTCCCAGTTTCTGTCATGTTGGTGATTGATCCCGGGGTTTCCTGCATGCTAGGCAAACAGTCCACCAGTTCAGCTACATCCCCAACTCCCATTTTTGAGCAACAGGGAAAGAGAGAGAAACACTAGGAGCCCCTCAGAATGTGAGAAAAAACAGATCCTGCATCCATTGTTTCCATGTGGCAAAATTTCAATACTATCAACAGAAGACGAAATTACAATGTAAAACAAAGATCCTAATAGTTCTTGGTAAGAATACAGCAAAGTTTGGGCCCTCTTTATTCTAAATTAAAATTAATACTTTTGGGCTACATATCAGGTTACATACTAAGGAGGCTAAAAAGGTAAAGCAAAAACTAACACCCCACCCCCCCCAGTCAAGCTCGGGCATGTCTTTGATCCCAGCATACAGGAAGGAGGCAGAGAAAAGTGGATCTCTGTCAGTTGAGAGTTCCAGGGCAGCCAAGACTGCCATAGCAAGATAGAGTTTCGTGGTGTAGCCCTGGCTGGCTGGGTACACACTATGTAGATCAGGCTGGCCTAAAACTAGCTTGCACCATTACACCCAACATGATGTCTTTGAAAAATTTTTTTTTTTTTTTTTGGTTTTTCGAGACAGGGTTTCTCTGTGTAGCTTTGCGCCTTTCCTGGAACTCACTTGGTAGCTCAGGCTGGCCTCGAACTCACAGAGATCCGCCTGGCTCTGCCTCCCGAGTGCTGGGATGAAAAATTATTTTGATGGAGTGGTGGTGGTGCATACCTTGAGACCCAGCACTCACTCAGGAGGTAGAAGCAAGTGGATTTCTGAGTTCAAGGCCAGCCTAGTCTACAGAGGGAGATCCAGAACAGCCAAGGCTACACAGGGAATCCCTGTCTCGAAAAACTAAAATAAAAGTAAATAAGTAAACAAACAAATAAATAGAGTTTTGTTTATGTGTGAATGTGTGGATGTCTGCAGAGGTCACAGAAGGCTTCAGGTCCTCTAGCTGGGGTTACAGGCAGTACATGGGTGCTGAGAACTGAGCTTGGGTCCTCTGCAAAAGCAGCCAGCAATCCTACCAACGGAACCATGTCTCCACCGCCCTACTCCCCAACTAAGTTCTTTTATAAGTCTTTATGAATCAAGGCAAGATTTAGCAAGTTTTACTGTAATCCTTTTTCTTGTGTTTTCAGACACGTCTCATGCAGCCCAGGCTGGAAAGAATGACCTTGAACTCCAGATCTGGTGGTTTCCACCTCCGGAGTGCTGGGATTACATGCGCCAGACACCCAGCTTTCTCCTGTCTTAAAAGTTGTAACTGAAAAAGGAAAAAAAAAAGTTCTTGGCAGGCGGAATCCAGAAACTGGTGGGTGAAGGACGTGGCTCGTGCAGGTCCTTTGAGAGAGCGTCGTCCACTAGGGAAAATGACAAGGGAAAGGACAAGACAGAGGCACGCTCGACCGGATGAATGGACTCCTTGCTTGAGAGTCTGTGGAAGATAAGCGCTGTGTGTCCCCGGCAGGCAGGTGCCACATCTCCGGTGGACTGCCCTGGGAGAGCCGAGGAGGCGACTCCAGCCTGCGCTCCCGGAGCTCCGCGGCAGAGGGCGCCCTAGCCACGCCCGTCCTGCTCCTCCGGGGCGGGGCCGTCCTCGGGGCCGGGGGCGGGGCCGCGCGCTCACGTGACCCTAGCTCATGGCGGCGGCGGCGGCGGCGGCAGCGGCAGCGCCGGCGGCTCTCGGCGGCTGGAGCCGGATCCTGTAGCCGGGGTGTGGGCCCGCGTCAGTCCGTCCCTCCTTCGGCCCCCTCTCGTCTTCCGGAGTGTGGCTGGCGGAGCCGCGATGGCGGAGCGAGGCCTGGAGCCGTCGCCGGCCGCGGTGGCCGCGCTGCCCCCCGAGGTGCGGGCGCAGCTGGCGGAGCTGGAGCTGGAGCTGTCGGAGGGTAGGCGCGCGGCGGGCCGGGCCGGCGGGCGGGCGGGCGGCGGCCTGCGGGGAGGCTGGGCCGGCGGGGCTCGCCGCTCCCCAGCCGCCAAGCGTGGCTGCGCTTTCATTGTTGTCCCGGGGGGGGCCCCCGCAGGACTTGGGGACGGGTCAGCTGGAGACAAAGCTGCGCCCTCAGGCTGACACCTTGCCCCGCTGCCCTGCCTTTCTCCTGAAGGGCCGCAAGCCTGCACCCTGTCTCCTGCCTTCAGAAGGAGACCCAGGGGAACGCCGCAGCTGCATTTCTTCCTGCTCCTCTAACAATGCGAGGTGCCTCGCCAGTGACAGGCGTGAGAAAGGAGCGGGGGAGCCATTGAGGGTCCGAGGGAGGCTGGAGGCAGTGGCGCTAACCCAGAGAGACACCCCCGGTGCTGCTGCTTTTAGACCATCTCTGTCGTGGGGGGCCGCGGGGCTTTTTCTTGGCACCTGTGTTCAGGCTGGGTTTCCGCATCTGGTCACCTTTCGGAGTCTTTGAAGAGGTGGCTACCGGTTACGTGCAAATCCTGGCCAGCACCCTCTTTATTTTGACAATGGATTAGTACAGGGAGGGTTGGGTTTATTTAGATAATTTCAAACACGGACTAAATCTAGGCACTGTTACTAGAAAAGTCCCTTGGACAACAATGAGGCGCTCAATGCCGGCTGTGGGCATGTGATCAGGCGAATGTGCTGTTGCGATCAGCTCTCTGTAAAGTTCCTGTTTTTATCGCAGGCGGCCTCTGAACAAAAGCAGCATTTTCTCCGCTCTGGGTGTCAGTACTTTGCTGATGTCTCCAGAGTTGCATATTGTTGAATCCCTTCCCAAAGGCCTTCACTAGTATTTTTCAAGTGCATTAAAAACTGTTGATTGGAAAAAAAGAGAGAATGTGACCAAGTTCCCAGGAGAGTTTCAGTTCTGACTTTTGTTAACTTATCATGGCATTGCGGGGTGTTCCCCTTTAAAAATCACTTACAGTGGAAAAACCAGGAGTGAATTTGAGTGTTAAGCAATGGAAGGAAATAATTAATTTTAATAACACTTTAAGGCTTTCCCAATGTATAGGGTGGTGCTGTTTTCACCTGTGCGTAATTACCAACATATTATTTTTCAATTAATCATTTGGGAAGTGTTTAGGAAGATAGGAATCCTTTGGGCTGGTTGCCCAGTGATACTTTGGGTCAAAATATTCACCAAGTAAAAAAAATCAGTTGAAGTAGTTTGTTAAATGGTAAGTTTCCCTTACGGTTTTCTTTTTCCTCATCATCCTTTTGTGAAAGTGTTGTCATTAAGTCTGATGAATTCCATCCAGGTCTTTTAAAACAGTTATTATTTTTTTAAAAATAACAAATCAGCTGTCGCTTTCGTTAGCCAGAAAGAGAGGTTTGGCTGGATGTTGGCATGAGAGGGAGATTAAAAATGGGTCTGATTGCTTTCACCAGGGAAGGGAAGTCCTGAGTGCTCCTCTTGGTGTGGATCTGCTCCGAATGATTATTGTTTACAGCTCTGGGTGTTTTCTAGACATCTTTAGAAAGAACTATTCTGAGGAACTATTTCTAGGATCCACTACTGATGAGCTCACCCCACTCTCTGAGAAAGGTGTGAAAGTCTTAGAAACTGGGAATGTCAGACTTTAAACATCTTAAGGTCAAGGGGATCCGTGCAGGATGTTTTGATTGGCACATGACTTAGTTTAAATTTGTTTCTTAAGGATTTGTACTGCACTAGGCTGCATTTTACTTCTCTGCGCTCCAGGAGGAAATAACAGTTGAGAAACCTTGAACCTGCAATGTCAGCGTATTGGCTGTCTGTCTGTCTTGCTTCAAGTACACAGATGGTTGGTGCTATTTGGAGTTGAAGTGAAGTTAAAATAAGCAAGGGGTCCCCAAATCTGTGGGTGGTGTTTGTGACATCAGCAGGGGTCCCCAAATCTGTGGTGGTGTCTGTGACATCTGCAGCATATTTTGAACTAACCTTTCCTTTTTAAAAAACATTTTCTCTATAATTACTGTTCAGACAAAAAGACTTGGCTTTTTTTTTTTTTTTTTTTAAGGCTTCTGTCTGTGTTTGTCACGACTTGTTGACATTGGTGCATTCTGTCTTTCCATGCCGTTTTCCTTAGGTTCAGACTGAAGTTGGTCCTAAAGATAGGGAGCATCTGAGCGAACTACGGTGGAGGATGTTCTTTGTGTGTGTGTCCTGCTGCAGGCTTTGGTCATAGATGAGCCGGTCTGCTGAGATGCAGGTCGGTGCCTCCTTTGGGCTGTTTGCCGCAGAGCTCAGTGCAGAGAGCCTGTGTGATGGGTCAGCTGCTCCAGGCTGCTCCCGGTGGACCACTTCTGCACTAACAGCCTGAAACTGTCCGGAGAACCATTTAGACACTGAATTTACACATGAATTTGATACATGAGTCGGTAGGATTTTTAACACAGTCCCAGTTTCAGTGTTCTCTCAATCTCTATCTGTGTCGTCTGTTGACAGTGAGCCCTGTTGGACTTCACCCCCGAGCTGTAATGGGGCTCAATTAGAATTGTTTGCTTGAATCTGTCCGACCCTCTGGAGTGTAATGCTGCTCTTACACACCGTCCTTTGAGCACCACTAACCTTCTTGACCGGGTGAAGCAGGTATACTTCATCCCCTTCCCCACTTCGGTTTAACAGAAGGGAAAATTTGGACTCAGAAAGGTTAAGTGTTTTGTTTAAAGCTGCACAGCTAGCGGGTGCCATTATCTCAAGCTGTGATATAATTATAGGATCTGAACGATTTAAATATCTGAGTTGTGATTGCACAATAGTTTTTTTCCCCTCTCAGGAAACACTGCATTCAGTGTTTATGCCACAGTTCTGAATAGCCTTGTTGGTTCTCAGATTCATGGTGTCTGCATGCTGCTCAGCTGCTGTATTTTGTGCCTCTCTGTGCAGAGGATACAGAGGTGAGCAGGATGCTGTGCCAGCTTTCAAGCCTGCTAGAGGACATCTCTTAAAAATGTCAACAAAACGTCACACGAGACCATGATACACCGTGTGCAGGGGCTGCCTTCTAAGAAAGGAAGCTTTTCCGTTGTGAAAAGCGGCAGAGAGCTGTAAACACAAGGTTTATGGGGTTGATAGCTCGGGCTGTGATTTGGCTGGGGCACACAAGTCGTGAGGGAAGAAGGGTGTTAGACCAGCTCTGCTGCTGCAGGCTGAAGGTGAGCAAGTCTTTCCGTGTCTGAGAACAGCCCAGAGACGGCGGCGGCGGCGACTGGAAAGGTATTTAAGATAAAATAACACTTACCGGAAGGGAGCCTCCCTTTTCTTGTTTGAACACTTCTCTGGGCAGGAGCGGCAACACATCCTCTCTGTCTCTACATGTTTCAGTCCCTATCTCTGAGTCCACCTTGAAGGCGGAGACGTAGAGGGCACCTTCTTAGGAGTTGTAGGAGAGTTGAAAAGGAAGGGGAGGTGATGGGCAGACTGTGTTTTAATCTCAGAAATGGGCAGGTCGACTTTTGCCGGCAGAAAATTTGTAAAGTCTTTCTGTTTACCTGTAGTGGGGACCCTGGTCACTTCCCTCCAGATGTCACTTACTCATGGAGTTGCAGGCTACGCACATACCCCGGAGCCACAGCTAGGCAGCTGAAATAGCTGGTGCTAAGAAATTTCAATCTAGAATATAGATTGTTGTTTTTATTTATATTGCTGCATGCTAAGCAAGCACTCTACCACTGATTTCCACTCTTACTCAGTCCTATAGACTTTTATTAAATTACATTAATTATTAATTACATTCTGTGTATGCACATTAGCTTGCATGTGAGTGTGTGTGTGCTTGCACGCACGCACGCACGCACGCACGCATATGTGTCATGGTGCATGAATGGAAGTCGGGAGAACTGTGGGATCAGTTTTCTCCGTCCCAGCTACAGATCCTGAATGGTGAACTAAGGTTGTTAGGCTTGTTGGCTGGTGCTGTTGTGATGAGCCTCTGGGTCAGCCCCAGTTTCATGTTTTTAAAATGTATTATTATTATTATTGTTTTGTTTTATTTTTTTTTCAAGACAGGGTTTCTCTCTGTATTTTTGCGCCTTTCCTGGAACTTACTCTGTAGCTCAGGCTGGCCTCGAACTCACAGAGATCCGCCTGGCTCTGCCTCCCGAGTGCTGGGATCAAAGGCGTGCGCCCCCACCGCCCGCATTATTTTTGTATTGGACTGTTGGGGATTGAGTCAGGGCCTCCCACATGGTAGGTGAACGCTCTGTCATTGTACTGTATCACCGTCGCCCGGCTCTGTAGTGTTTACTTATTTGTTTATTTATTTTTTCTCTCTTTGGAAAGAGAGTCTAGGCAGGCTCAGAAGTCACCACACCTGGCCCCCATAGATTGATTTCTTTTTGAGATAGCGTCTCTCTATGTAGTCCTTGTTGTCCTGGAACTCACTGTATAAACCAGGCTGGCCTCCAACTCACAGAGATCCTCCTGCCTCTGCCTCCCGAGTGCTGGGATTAAAGGCGTGCGCCACTGCACCTGGATTGTTTATTTAAATAATTTAAAAGGCTTTTCCCCAGAGTTTGTGCCATGAGTACTACAGTTCTCCATTGCGCTCATGCCAAAGGTGGAATAATGCCCCTTCTTGCCTGTAGTTGTTGTAATTCTTTACTACCAGTTTCTATTTTTTCAGTTATATGTTTTCTAATTAAACTGCTTTCCATTTAATATAAATTACAGAAGCCATCTATATTTTCTTTCTTTTTAAGTTGGTGGTTTTTTTTTTTTTTTTTTTTTTTGAAACAGTGTCTCAAATATGTAGGCCAAGCTGGCCTTGAACTCACAGGGATCTGACTGCCTCTTCCTCCCAAGTGCTGGGACTAAATGCTGTGCCCCTGTGTCTGGCTCCTCTTCTTCCTCCTTAAAAATATGTGTGGCTGTTTTGTCTGCAGTATGTGTTTGCACCGCACTGGGTGGCTGGTGCCCACAGACGGTGGGAAGGACAGACAGTTGAGCTG